TGCTGCTTGGCCTGCTGTGTTCATCCAGCCCTGCACCTTGTTGTCTCATGTCATGACGGGACCTGGAGTGTGGGGTGGGTAATAGACATGGTAGGAGGTGTTCATCCTCTAAAATGGTTAAACCTGATGTTGAGACCTGAAGGTTGTAATGTCTCCAAGTGGAAGATGAGGTGTTGTTCTTCCATCTTGCGTTGAGCCTCGCTAGAGCACTGCAGCAGGCCTGAGATAGAAACCTAAACTCCAATGGATGTAAGGTTTCTTCATAAGATTATTCCTTCATTGAGGAATGAGTCAAGTGAACTTTCTCTATATGGCTTCTCTGTGATTATATCTTCCATCAAGTAAAGGGACCAAAGCTATACACAGTACTCTCCATGTCATCTCACAAAAAGCCTACAGATCTGTAGTAGAAACTTCCAGCTGATTCCATTTCCCCTTGCAATATGCACTAACATTTCAATTGCCTTCCTAATCAATTGCTTTATGTGCAAACTAGCTGTTTATAACTCACATACCAGGATATGCAAGTTCTTCTGTATCAGAGTTTAATGAACAATGTCAGTGGTGGGATTGGGTGAATTTGTCCCAAATTCCCTGGAAAATTCAATCATAGAGGCAACCAGTGAGATAAAATGTGACTCTGCTTGTGTAGGCGCAAAATACTTGAGGAGTTGCTCTTCCAGTCACAGGTTGGTTCTCTCCTCTGATTGGGCCTGATAGGCTCACGACTGAATCTATCAGAAGTAAAGACAGGAGAACTAGGATGTGATTGGAGAAGCAGTGAGTGACATTATAAGTAAGTAAGCCTGGAAGACTTTTGCTAGGGTTCATGGGGCTAGGGCTGCTGGGGCTAAGTGTGCGACAGCCGGAGGAGTATGGGTTCAAAGGAAGGTACAAAGTGAAGAGAGTGATGCTGCAACGGTTTGGCGAGAAGGAGATTGCAAAGTGTTGGGGGAGAGAAAGAGAATCTGCAAGGGGATCAATAGGGAAGGTGGCTGCAAGAATCGAGGGGGAGACTGCAAATGAGTGGGAGAGAGGGATACTGCAGCGGGGAGAGAGAGACTGCAAGGTGGGGTGTGCTTAAACTCCATTGAACTCCATCTGCAAATTTTTTGCCAACATATTGGTCATGACTATATACCAAGTCTGTGAACCAAGAATTTGAATACAAATGCATCATTGTAATCTTTTTCACTTTAAAAGTAATCATCAGCAAAGCTTTATGCTTTAAACAAGATTAAAGGTTAGCTTATTAGACAAGTATTGATGAAAGTTACTTAAGTAGAAAGTGGTAAAATTTTCATTTGGTAGAAAACCCACCCCATTTCATGGATGTGGGCATCACTGTGAAGGTGAATATTTATGGCCTATCCCTAATTGTCTTTGAATTGAGTAGTTTGATGGGATATGGCAGTGGATTTCTTCCCTAAAGAACATTCATGAACCAGACGGGTACTTATGAGATTGATAGCTTCCTGGTCATTATTACTCAGGCAAACTTTCAATTTCAGATTTTTAAATTCGATTTAATTTCCACCAGTTATGATAGAATTTGAACCAGATCATTTCTTCCGACCCACTGGATATTGAGCATGTGATGTTAGAACTGCATTTCCGTCAATTCCATCCCCTACGCAAATAATTATTATCCAAAGTACAGACATAATGATCTAAAGTAAGGGTAAAAATAATGGTTGCAAGTGCAGGTCACTTGAAGGTGTTCTTTCTAAAGTGAATGTGTTGAAACCAAGTCCGATTCGGCAGATTATTTCTGTAGTTGAACAGTTGGAAATTACTCTCTGGTATACACAGTCTGGAGAATAGGTCTGGGAGTCAGTGAAGGCTCCATTATTTAACTTTTATGGAACTGCAGGGTGGAGCTTTTTGTAGCCTGATTCAGTACAGCAGTCCTTTGGCTGGATTTTCTCTTCGATTTTGATGCCTTCCTCTGTCTGCCTGTTGAGAAGCAGTTTCTGTTTCAAGATGTCTCTTATGCTGTTCAGATGTTCCTCCTCTCATGTCCTCAGCCATATTTTATCAGAACCAGTTTAAAAAATCTCCAAACGCTAGTCATTAGTTATAAATCATTGTCCACAAAGCAAAGTCAGTTATGCCCAAATTCCTTGTGTTGTCCCTCTGTCTGTGTTCAACACTACAGAAAGATTGAGTCTTCATACCATTTGAAGGTTTGATGGACAGTCTTGGAATTTTTGAATAGATTAATGATCCTTTATGATTGACAATAGTATAGTATAATCTGATCATCTACCTTGACTGCAGTTAAATCCAGAAGAGAAACTTTGTAGGTTTTTTGGGGAGATATTTTGTTTGATTCCTTGTGTTCATTTTGAAAAATAGATTAGTTTTCTTTACAAAATATAAGCACACATTTGTGATACATTTTAATTGTCTTTCTCACTTTAAAGGATCTTTTCTGCCTCATGACTGCTTGCTTTTTTACTTACCTTGGAGTTTTCGGCAAATTTAACTACCATATACAATCATACATTACCGAAGAGGCACTTTGGCCCAAGGAGTGTGTATCACCAAAATTACAACATTGCCTACAGTAGTCCCATTTTCCTACACTAGGCCCATAACCTTGATGTCATGACACCATAAATTCAGTTTCATTCAAGTCTTCCAAATAACTTATGCACATTACAAACTGGTTGTTTTAAGGAGATTGTACAATTCTTTACATTTTTAAATAAATAATTTTTGCTTCATAAAAATGCCTCAGAAGATACAGAAACTGCATGGCAAGGATCGTAGTGACGAGGAAACCAAATCTAAAAAATAGTCACACTAAATAGCAGAAATATGACTTTGGGCCCTGTTGTGTCTGATATCATTGGTGTAAATTTAAAGCCTTTTCAGCAGTGATATAAATTCAGGAAATTTGCTTTTGCATGGGAAAACAGTGTGATTGTAAGCTGCTGAAGATTCTCATAGCAGTTTCATGGAATCACTGTAAAGGACAGGGTAGTGAAGAAGGCATTTGGTATGCTTGCTTTTATTGGTCAGTGCTTTGAGTATAGGAGTTGGGATGTCATGTTGCAGCTGTTCAGGACATTGGTGAGGCCACTTTTAGAATACTGCATTCAATTCTGGTCTCCCTGCTACGGGAAAGATGTTGTAAAACTTGAAAGGGATCAGGAAAAGATTTACAAGAACATTGCCAGGGTTGGAGGGCCTGATCTACAGGGAGAGGTTGAATAGGCTGGGTTATTTTCCCTGGAGTGCCTGAGGCTGAGGGGGACCTTTTACAGAGGTTTATAAAATCATGAGGGGCATAGATAGGATGAATAGCCAAGGGTCTCTTCCCCAGAGTAGAGGAGTCCAAAACTAGAGGGCATAGGTTTAGGGTGAGAGGGGAAAGATATAAAAGGGACCTGAGGGATAACTTTTCCCACAGAGGATGGTCTGTGTATGAAATGAACTGCCATAGGAAGTGGTGGAGGCTGGTACAATTACAATTAAAAGTCTTCTGGATGGGTATATGAATAGGAAGGGTTTAGAGGGGTTTGGGTTAAATGCTGGAAAATGGGAATAGATTAATTTAGGATATCTGGTTGGCATGGATGAGTTGGACTGAAAGGTCTGTTTTCCTTCTGTATATCTCTATGACTCTCTGACTCTAAGGATCAGGGAAATTCTGACATACTCTAAAAATGAGCATAGATCATTTGCATCCAGATTTCCTCAATCTTT